GCACAGCGGGAGGAAGACATCGAGCTCCTGGAGCTCGGTGGGTGGTGGGCTCATCCTGTCCTTGCCCGAGGGCTCGGACAGGCGCAGCAGCTCCGGGCAGCCGGCGGTGCTCAGGCTGTGCTGGCGGCACTCGTAGGATTCCTTCACGTAGAGCTTGGTGAGTGTGTCCTGCCAGCCGGCCAACCTGGCCAGCTGCTTCACCAGGTCCTGCTGCGCGTAGATCAGGTGGAAGAGCTGCAGGAGGAGCAAAAGGAGGAGGAGGAGGAGAAGGAGAAGGAGAAGGAGAAGGAGAAGGAGAAGGAGAAGGAGAAGGAGAAGGAGGGACATTGGATGCTGCCACCCCAGTTCTCCATGGATGGACACATCCCAGGAACAGGAGCACCCCAGATCCTCCAAAACCATCGTGGAGCTGCTGGAGCTGGCAGATCCATGTCACCACCATCCCCATGGCCACCACTTTTGGGTTTCCAAGGAGCTCAGGTGACACCTCTGTCACCTCCCGCTGTGCGCCAGCCCCACTCACCTTGCGGCAGATGTCGAGCCGGATGCTCAGCTCAGCCCGGTGGGACAGGTACACCACGGCCACCAAGTCCTTGTAGTTGGGAGGGTCTGTGGACAAGGAGAGTCAGCACAGTGCAGGGACACTTTTTGCTGTCCCCAGAAGCCACCCAAGACCAGCTGAGCCTGGTGGGAAGTGCTGATCCCACGGCACACGGCTGGGATGGTGGCCTGGTTTCACTGGCACACGGTACCTGCCCCCAGGACCTGCTCCGAGAGGCAGCGGAAGAGCAGCATGGAGCCGGGAATGTCGCTGAGGCAGGAGATGAACCCGTGGTACCCAATGTCCTTCAGCTTCAGGCGGCTCTTGCTGCGCTCGGGGACCTTCTCGTACTTCAGCATCTTGTAGAGGATCTGGTGGGACAGCGAGAGGAGGCTGTGACATCCCTGCTGGGGACAGCAGGAGGTGGGCACTGGGGCCTGCCTTACCTTGAAGACCCTTTCCCGCACTTCATCTGAGAACTTCTTCTGCACCAGCAGGGAGAAGAGCAGCTCCACGTGGCCCGGCTCGAAGAGGAAAGCGAAGAGCTGCTCCTGTGCTGGGGAACCCTTCAGCAGGCTGTGGATCACCTCCAGCGCCCCACAGACCTGCAGGACACCAGGATCCATGTCCATGGCCCTCCTGGTGTCCCACCAGGACCGCAATGGCTTCTCCCCAGCCCGTGTTTCACAGAGGGGTTTGGGGGCCACAGCGTGGCCGGTGACACACCTGCTGCTCGTCCTGTGCCCCAGCCAGGTAGTTCAGCAAGCTCTGCATCTCCTCCCCGGAGAAGCTCCTGCAGAAGAAGTCCTTCACCAGGCTGAAAAGGGACGTCTGCACCGTCCTGATGTCGTCGGTGGCCGTGGTCTTCTCCCCGGAGGTGCTGGTGGACACACATGCATGGGGATGCGACCCTCGTCAGCCACCACCCATCACCAGTATCGTCCCAAATCCCAGCACAAAGCCTGAGGAGCTCCAGGGATCTCCTGCCCCTGGGACAGGTCCACTCCACACATTTGGGTCTTCTTGGTGCAGAAGCCACCACACTCTTGGTGGCTGCTGGGGGTGGATTTTGGAGGTGGGCTCAGGCTCGGGGATGGGACATGGAGGCTCCTGCACCCACCACAATGCTCCCACTCCGGAAGGAGGGGCGTTATCCCACAAAAATGGTGCTCAGCCAAACCACCGCTCCCAGGGGTGAAGCCCACCCCCAATCCCAGCCCGTCGGCATTCCAGGATTCCAGCCCCGCTCACCTGTAGTAGGTCCGGATGGAGTCCAGGATGAACTGCACCCCGTACTTCCTGCGGACGCGCTGCTTGTGGTCCTTGACCACGCTGGCCAGGTACTGGATGTGACCTGCGGGGAGAAGGTGTCGGGATCCCACGGAGGCCGGGCGGGATGGACATTCCCAGGCGTTCCCAGCTCCCACCTAAGCGCACGGCGAAGTCGCTGTTGCTCCAGATGCGGAAGTCGAAGAGGAGGTGCTGGTAGAGGAGGTGCAGCAGGAGCCCGCTGCCCTCGGAAGCCACCTGCTCCATGAGGATCTGCGAGGCCACCAAGGTGCTCATGTCCAGCAGCGTGCCGGGGACCTGCCACGGGTGACAAGGGACACTTCCAGCCCTTTGGGAACGGCAAGGAGCGCTGGGGTGGGGTTTTGGGAGCCTCCCACACCTTGTGCAGCAGCGCTCCGATGATGGCTGGCCCGTGGCACTGCACCAGGCTCTCCTGGTTCACGGTGTGGTTCCTCAGGAAGTTCTTCACCAGCAGCAGGAAGGCGGCCACGCTGTTCCTCTCCAGCCTGCTCTCTGCGGGGCACCAGGAACTGTGGGCCCACCCAAACCCCCTCCCGGAGATCCCACGTGGTTGTCTCTCCAAACTTTTCACCCTGCTCTCCTGTTTTCTCCAGATTTAAGGAGATGGGAGCCTCTGCTGCTCTGAGCTTGGGAATGAGCAGCTGGATACTGGGAGCAAGCAGGTGCCACCCATGCCAAAGGTTCCTGGAGCCACCCTCACCTTCCCAGAACTGCTTGTTTGTGATGACTGGGTCATAACAGAATCCCAAGTGGTTCCTCCATTACCCCATAACTCCAGGAGCCTCAGGCAAAGACCCGTCCTGCCCATGACGGACACCTGCCAGGTCCAGGAACCCCTCCGTGGCTCCTCCAGCCACGCCAGCAGGACAGCTCCTGCTTCACATCCCCTGAACTCCTCACCTGAGGACTTTCCCAGAGGGATGAGCATGCCCTGGGCGTTCCTGGAGGATGTCAGCTCCGGCCCCACCAGGTCGTTGGTCTCCTGCTCATCCTCGGGCTCCTCCGTCTTGGACACCACTTGCTCGAGCAGGGGCAGGAGCACCCCCATCCCACCCACGCAGTTGACCACGTCCTGGGGGAGGGAGGGGAGGGGCTTCGCTGGGTGGTGACAGCAGCATGGAGGGGGAGGTCCCCAAAAGTCACCTGTTCCCCTGCACCACCCATGGCACCCACCCTGGACGCTGTGGGACAGATGGGTCATGGTGGAGCCAACACCACGGGCAGGGTCCCTGCAGGCTCCAGGGGACCTGTGGGGGTTCTGCCCCAGGACTGTGCCCCCCACAGGAGGTGTCCCTCTGGTCACCCTGTGCCCAGCCTACCTTGATGTCCCAGTTGACCACCTTGTGTCCGGTCAGCCTCCCGTCCAAGCCGTGGCTGGGAGAGAGGTCCAAGCAGATGTTGTTCCTGCAGGCCTGGAAGAGAACACCAGGGGAGCATCCTCATGTTCCTGGACATGTCCCTGGTGGCACAGGGTCCACCTGTCACTGTCCCCAGGGGGGTGGATCTGCTCACCTGGGGGGTGTAGTACAGCAAGAGTTTACTGCTGAGCTCCATCAAGTCACCTTCCAGAGTGAACGGGGATGTGACATTTGGTCCTGGGCGAGAGGATTGGGGTGAGCTGGGACATGCTGGAGGAGACCCCCGTCACCACCAGCACCCTGGGGACATCCTCCGTGTCCCACCCCGACGTACCTGCACAGAAGAGAGCCTTGACCTGGGTTTGCTGCAGGGCCTCGCAGAAGATGGCCACAGAGCCCAGGTGACCTTCCAGCGAGGTGGGGCTGCCCCACTCCGTGTCCTGGCTTCCGGCTGCTGTGGTGGCCACCACCCCCTCTGTGGGCAGCTGGGTGGGGGTCCAAGAGTGGGGCCCGAGGGTGGCGGGGACAGACTGGGAGCGTCCCAGCACGGGGTGCTGGGGGAAGACCAGCTCCGGCCCGTGGGATGCCGGCGGGTGCCCGGCAGCGGTGGCCGCTGTCGTGGTGGTCCGGTGGCCCGCGGAGCCGATGCAGCAGGAGGTGAAGGACTGGGAGGGAGAAGGGACCACACTCAGCCCCCAGTGAGGCCCCGCAGAAGGGTCTGGGTGGGAGCTGGGAGGATCCCCCACCTCGTGCAGGGACGGGAAGCGGAGCTGCGCCGTTTTCCGCAGGTGTCCGTCGGCGTAGATGCTGACGACGTTCTGGCCGAAGGGCCGGCGGCCGGCAACGTGGACGATGTCAACGCAGTGCTGGGGGGACAGAGAGGGACATCAGGACATTGTG